TCACTGTCGGCTCACGGCCAGTTCTCCTGTCTGTTGCTTCATCTCTCCCAATGATACTGCACATTCCTTAAGGTCTGTGGGGTTCCTGTGTTCCCATACAAGGGGGAGAGTACCCCCCTCAACCCTGGCCTCCTGGCTGAAGATGGAGGGACTACCGCGGGCTGGAGGTGGCGTGTGAGCACGACTGTGAGCCTCTGACTCTAGAAACCCCAGCACGTCGCTTCTAACTGTGGGGAGAACGTTAAGTTTTCAAGTGGGCGCCTCGCTTGGACAGATGCGAACACAAACACGGAACATTTTTCTCCCTCCTCTCCCTCCCCTGAGTTCTGCTGGGGGCCGGTTCATGGGAAGTTGGTTAATTGGAACTGTCCCTGCTGCCCCAGTGAGAAATGGGACGTTGTACACCACGTCTCCTGGAGAAAGACTCCCATCTGTTCACTCCAGGAGGATAATTATGTGTATAAATTACCCGCCTTCTCATCCCTCCCCCGCCCAGCTGCACGAGGGGGCTGTGCTCTTGAAGATTCCCGAGTGACCTTTGAGATGCAGGAATATGACTGAATCAGCTCTTGGACCAGTCACGTGCCCTGAGCACGACTGCCGTATCCATTTTCTATTCTAGGTGTGGGAAATGGACATTTATTTTGAAACATTTTTTTGTAATGAATCTGTGACTGGGGAAGGGTGTTTCCACAATGATTATCGTTGAACTTGGTGTGACTTCCAGCAACAGAGAAAGTCCCCAACTGTCACTTACCTCTTACTAGAGGAAAGACCCCAGGCTGAGCAGCTTAGGAAAATGAGCAAGTGCTTCCCACGGCCGTAATGCAGTAAATCTCTCTCTGAATACCCCAGCTGTGAAATCGATTGCGTGGAACTTTCTCTACCTGGGAGAGCCCTGGTCTGGGAGCGAGGGTTTGTGGGTGGAGTCTGGTCACTGCACTGACCATTGATGGTACCTTGGGCAGCTCACTTCCTTTTCAGGGGCCTCAGTGCTCCCACCTGGGGAATGGGAGGAGGTTAGGTTTCAATTACCCCTGTGGTGAGCAGAATAATGGTCCCCTAAGATGTCCATGTCCTAGTTCTTGGAAACTAAACATGCTCGTTAAATGGCAAAGGGGAATTAGGTTGCAGATGGAATTAAGTTGCTTAGTCAGCTGACCTTAAAATAGGGAATGATCCTGGGTTACCTGGGTGGGACCAGTGTTAGCAGCAGCGTCCCTGCAAGTGGACAAGGGAGGCAGAAGAGAGAGAGAAGCAGCGTGAGAAGGACTTAGCCTTACATCGCCGACTTTGAAGATGGCGGGATGAGGCCATGAGCTAAGGAATGTGGGTGGCACAGGAGGTGGAAAAGGCCAGAAAACAGATTCTCCCTTAGAGCAGCCCTGCTGATACTTTCATTTCAGACCTTTGAGACCCATGTCAGACCCGTGACAATGAAAGTCAGTCCTTGTAGAGCGCACACCACGAGCCGGGCATGGTTTGACGAGCTTCACACGTGTCACCTCATTGCATCTTAGAGAAACCATGAAAGGTGGGGGTTATTATTGCCTCAGCCATTTGACAATTGAGGAAACTGAGGCCTAGGGAAAGCACAGAGCTTGCCCAGGGTCACAGAGCTGGGAAGGGTGGAGCCTGGGTTTCCACCCATTTGGACCATCAGCCTGTCCCCATTCTCTGTACAGACAATGGGCATTTCCTCAATTTTATGGAAAGTGCTGTGCAAACATGGTGCCGGTGAGGTGACCACAAGTCATGCTCAGTTTGCCTGGGACAGGCGCCATGTCCTGGAATAATTGCTAATGGTGCCTCCAGCCGTGCTCAACAAGGATCCAGTTTGGGGGATGAATCACATAGTCAGCCCATGGACCCTCCCTCCCAGTGGGGGCCGAAGCCTCAAGGAGGTGGATGAACAGAGTGGGACCAGCCGGGCTCAAGGAACACGTAAGAAAGGCCTGGAATTGGGTAACTTCCATCTGAGTCTTGGTTCTAAGACCATTTTATTCTGTGACCCTGGGAAATAAGAGCCCATGTGGTCAGCCCTCAGCCCAGGGCTGACTTTTCCTGTCTTCATCTTTGCTACTCTTTTCCCTCACGTACCATCTTCCCTGGGGATCCCCACACACTGTCAGGCACACGTCTGGCCCAGGGCCTTTGCTCTTATTTACAGAAATTACCCCCTTTCCTCCTCTGATTTTTTGCTCAAATGTCAGCTTCTCCGAGATGCCTTCCTGACCACTGTTTAAAATTGCAAACGACTCCCTCCCTGCCAGAAACGTATCTCCTTCCCTTCCTGTATCGTTCTTCAAAAATCCAAACACAGTCTGACTTATTATATATGTTACTTATTTATCCTGTTTATACTCTGTCTGCTCCAACAGTATTAGACCTCCAGAGGGTCAGGATTTTTGCCCCTTTGTTTTTAAACTACGATATCCCTGGTACCACCAACAGCATCTGTCATAGAGTGGGCACTCAATGAGTGAATGAATGAATTCAGGGAAGAAATGATATCTTGGCATAAGTTTGTGGAATTGAGAAATGAATGAATTTGAGAGAGATGAAAGAAAATTTCTCATCTGCTTTTCACATGCAGCCAACTTTTCCTTTGCGCTGTCTGCATTTATTGTCATATTTACACATTCCCTGATGTTATATAAACGTTCATTTATTTTCTACCAGGACTTCGTTGTTTTCTATTTACATTAACAGTGCGTCTAGAATTTATTTCAACGGACGTAATGACATATGGATCGAATTTAATATTTTTGTCTAGATCACTAGGTCCTTTCCAAATTGTCTGAATGTCATTTACTGAATAATCTACTTTCCGCCAAATAATGGAAATGCAAGCTTTATCACATTGTGAAATCTTATATCTTTTCCTGAACTTTCTATTGAGTTCTGTTCTCAATCAGCCCCACACTTCAGTTATTATGATTCTATGTGTGAGAATATCTGATAGAACTAACTCCATAATTTCTTTTTTATTCAAAAAATTTTTTTTATGACTTTCTTTTCCAAATTCACTTTAGACCATTTTCCTCATGATAACTGCATGGAACTTCACATTCTATAGCTTGAAAGGAAGGAAATAGCTATCTAGTCAATATTAACTTTTATCCAGTAATATGCTATGAAACTTAGCATTTGATTCTTCCCTTGCATAGCTCTATTCACATGGCTCCCACGGACTTGTTATAACAATAATACCTAAGTCCTGTATATCATTGCTGTTGAAAATTGGATTTGTTTCTGTTTGGGATTTAACTTGCTTATTCTTGATACATAGGATGATTAATTAGCACCTGGATTCTGTTCCATCGATCTTTTCCTTTATTCCTGTATCAACACCAAATTTGGTAAAGCAAGTTCCTCTTAAATTTCCTTCCTTTTCAACAAACTTTTAGGTTCTCCTTACTTGTTTCTCTCTTTATGGAAATGTCATAATTGACTTGCTTGGCTCCCTAACTATAGGCTGACTTTGTAGCTCATGGCATTTCTGGCACAATTATAAGCTCTGAAAGTTCTGGTTGGTTCTCTTGGGTTTTCCGAGTGGATGACCCACTGATTCTCTTTGTTCAAATTCCTCTACTTCTCCCAGTCTGTCCCAGTGTCTGGCCATTGATCACTTGCTGCCCTTTGACACTTTCCCTGTCACCATCTGCGCGTCACTTGCACCTCTCTTTCTGTTCAGCAAGTCACACTCTTGTGTCTCGGCTCCATGTCTTGATCAGAAGGTTCTGTGTTTCCGGCCAGAGTCCCTCACACTGCAGACACCAAGTCAAAAACTATTGGCTTGGGATTCCCTGGTGGCGCAGTGGTTGAGAGTCCGCCTGCCGATGCAGGGGACACGGGTTCGTGCCCCGGTCCGGGAAGGTCCCACATGCCGCGGAGCGGCTGGGTCCGTGAGCCATGGCTGCTGAGCCTGCGCGTCCGGAGCCTGTGCTCCGCAACGGGAGAGGCCACAACAGTGAGAGGCCCGCGTACCGCAAAAAAAACAAAAAACAAAAAACATTGGCTTAAATCTGATTCAAGAGCAAGAAGAGAAGTAAGACGTGTGTGAGCTGAGTTCTTCTTCTCATCTACTAGGAGTTCTGAGTCCCGATGTGTCCCTGGTGATTTTTCAAATAGTGGGATGGAGTTTGGTTAAGGAATCCATCCTTACGAACAGCGAGCTTCTTACAGGACTCCCAGTGCCCCGGGCATCGTTCTAAGGACTGGACACGTGTGAACTCGTGTCATCCCAAGAACAATCCTATGAAGTGGGGACCATTATGCATCCACTTTTCATGTGGAACTTCTAAACACACAGAGGTTTATGTCACTGGTCCAAGGTGACACAGTTAGAAAAACGACAGAGCCAGCATTTGAAGCCAGGGAGTGTCTGCCAGAGGTCGTGCTCTGAGACCATGGCACCCACCGCCTATGGGAGGGCCACCCACGTGGATTTTCCTGTTGGTCTCATCAGCTCATCATTGCTGACTTTGACCTTTTGGGTGCCAGGAAGTTTTCAGTTCAACCCAATAAGCCCTTCCAGTCTATTCTGGTCTCCATTTCATTCTGCTCTCTATGAAAATAGCCTGCATGACCTAGAAACAAAGGATTCCCCCTTTGTCCGGGGCCCCATCTCTGAGGCACCCGCTGAAGACACTGCGTCATTAGGACAGATGTTGACTCCGCCCCTTCAGGGCCCGGTCACCCTAGAGTGTAATGTAAATGGTTACATATACAGGGCTCTGGAGGTAAGAATGGCGGTGCTCTGCTGATGGGAAAGAGGATGCCCAGCAGAAGGGCCCGGGCTGCAGCCACAGCCCTCCATCTCCCAGCTGGTGGATAAGCAGGTTGCAAACCATCTCCTGGTGACATGATCGCAGGGCTGGCTGACCCTGCTGGCCACTCCAGTCCTCCCGAGATTCCCAGGTGGACGGATTTCTCTAATGGTTCTGACTTCTTGTTGTAGAAAACTGGAGACATTGAAGGGCTTGCTTGTTTCACAGCTTGAAGAACGGAGGACATCTGAGGTCTCACTCCAGCGGCACGAAGGTTTCGCTGAGCGTGGTGGTAGCCCATCCACATCTGAATCTTTGTCCTCGTTGGGATCAACACTGATGGAGGACAGCAGCCGTTCCATTGCCTGCACATCCCAGGCGGTGATGCACCTCGAAGAGCCTCTATCATAGCATCGTAGAGCAGGGCAGGGTCTTGGAGACCAAGTGCTCCAGTCCGTACTTCTGCAGACAAGCCAAAGGCCCAGGAGGTGAAGGGACTTGGTCAAGGTCACTCAGGAAACCCATGTCTGAGAAGGATAGGGAGGGACTCTTCTCAAAACTACCCATACAGCACTCTCTCCTTGGGAGAGCTTCTCCAGCCTGAAGGCTTTAAACATCTCCTACCTACTGACAGCTCCTGCATGTATGTTTCTGGCCTGAAACTCCCCTGAATTCTCAACTCCCAACTCATGCACTCAGCTGCCCAGGCATATCAGCCTCAGCCTGTCCAAAATGAAACTTCTTACGCCTCCCTCTAAACCCGCTTCTTCTCTGGTCTTCCGCATCTCAGAGAAAGGCAAGGCTGTCGAGTTGCTCAGGACCCGAACCCGGAAGTCATCTTTTATTCATTTTTTGTTTTCTAATTGAAGTAGAGTTGCTGTACAATATTATAGAAGTTACAGGTGTACAATACAGTGACTCACCATTTTTAAAAGTTATACTCCATTTATAGTTGTTGTATCAATAGATTATTTGCTATATTCCCTCTGTTGTATAATATATCCTTGTAGCTTATTTTATACATAATAATTTGTATGGAAGTCATCTTTATCTCCTTCCTTTCTCTCAGATGCCACGTCCAGTCCATCAGAATCCAAGCCGCCATCCTCTCTCACATGGGTTTTGCGTTGGCTTCTCACTGGTCTCCCACCTCCTGCCCTGCCCGTCTATGCTCATCTCTTCTCCTTATTGGAGTGCTTTGGGTGGTACATTTACATGCAGATCAGACCTTAACGATTCCTCTGCTCAAAGCCCTCCGTGGATGTCTCATCTCATTCGGAATGAGAAGGCGGGGAGAAAACAATGGACCAAGAGTTAGGAGAACTGGGTCTGGAGCCAGCGTTGTCCCCGACTCTGGAAAAATGGGCAGCTCTCTCCTGTTTCAAATGGTTAGATGTGGATATTTTAAGAGGTAAAGGGGTCAGCCATCCAGGGGTCCCCAAACTCTTCTGCACTCCCTCCCTGACTCCCTTCCTGGGGCCCGGGCCAGAGGGTCCTCTGCCCTTTACCCTCATGCCTCCTCCTCCTGGCTCAACAGGCCCCACCGTTCCCTGTAGGCTGTTCCACTGATGTACAGGTTCCCAGAAACTGTGGCCACAGCTGCATTTGAAGGTTGAAAAATGAAAAAAAAATTTTTTTTCGAAAAGGAAACAAATGCAGTGGGAAAATTCTCCATTGGGAATTGGTTGGTGACGGTATTGACAAGGGATGCAAATTTATTTTCCAGCAAGGCTTCGGAAATGCAGAAACCGAGCCAAGCTATGAGCTCACAACATCCTAAAAGTCATATCTGACTATCTGGAAAAGAATTAAAGTATATATTTACCAAGGAGCCCCCCCCCAAACAGACATGAGGCAGATCTTCAAACGCTTGCGGGATTCCTCACCCGTGGCATCATTTTTCAACCTCCAGCCAATCAGTGGCTCCCAGCGCCTCCTTCTCAAGTTCTAGCCTCTGTCCCAAGCCCCAGACTTTGGTATTTGCTCTCAACTTAAGCCCAGAAGATTCAACAAAATCACCATCTTCCTTACCCACCCCCAATACACTTCTCCTCCAGAGGTCCATGCTTCTACTCAGACCCCCGCATCAGTCAGTCACCCAGGTTCAGAGACATTCCAGTCATCTTTGGCTCCCCCTGGGCGTTGGTTAGGATGCTTTAGGCCACAAGTCACAGCAACTCCAATAAACAGCAGTTCACAAAAACAAGTGTTTTAGCAAAACACTTGGGAGGGCAGCTGAAGGTATCACATATTCCTCTTTTGCCAAAAACGAGGGAAAGGGGGCAATTCAAGGGAGCACTCTCCTTACACCTGTCCTTTTTTTTCTTTCTTTCCTTTTTTTTTTTTTTTTGGCTGCACTGTGCGGCTTCCGGGATCTTAGTTCCCTGACCAAGGATTGAACCCGGGCCCCAGCAGTGAAAGTGTCAAGCGCCGACTCCTAACCACTCGACTGCCAGGGAATTCCCACATCTGTCCTTTTTATAAGGAATGAAAACCTTTCCCAGGAGCCCCACCACACATCCCCTTTGGTCCCCTTGTCCTGAGTGAGGTCACAGGGCAGCCTTCACTGCAGGGGGTGCAGGGCAAGCATCTGGTATGGTGCCTGGGAGAGTCAAGATGGGTTTTGACCAATCGTGATTCATTGCCATTGGCTTAGGAAAAACCATCGGGGTTTTGTTGGCAAGAAGGGTGGGGGATGGGTGTTGGGTCAGCAAACATCAGTGCCTGCCACGCTGTCTTCACCCCACAGCCCGTCCAGGGTGCAGCCTTGTTATTTCCTCCCCTCTAATGGCTCCATCATCTTTGTTTTATTCCCATTGCCAGCACCTTTATTCATACGGCACTGCCTCTCACTTTGCTCTTGATAATTGCCTCTAACTTTTCTCTCCCAATAGACTGACACCCAATTCCTTAAGTACAATGCTAACTTCCTCACTCCAGAGCCCAAGGACCCTTAGCTCCCCTCTTATGTACCAAATGAAATACAAACTTCCTCAAACGGATAGGTAAGGCCTTCCATAATAGGACCACTGATAAAGTAAAATCAGTCTTGTTTGCCCCTAAACCAGGAGGGGAACGGAGAAAGGGAAAAATAACCCACCTGGCACCTGGCGGCTAGGCCGTGATGCTCCCAATCAACAGGAACAAAGCTTGTGGAACACAAACATGTTCAGACAAGGCCACGACATGACCCTGTGTGAAACTAGGCAGAGACAAGACCACGCACGTACAGAAATAACTGAACATGCTCCTCTGCTAGTGCGAGTGGTGGCTGCCTCTTTACCAATGACATCCTAGCCCTGCATTCATCTTCCTCCCTGCAAGGTAAAAATATTTAAGATACCCCATCACATCATAATGTTATACGTCAATTATATTTATTAAAAAAAGCTACCCGGGCTTCCCTGGCGGCGCAGTGGTTGACAGTCCGCCTGCCGATGCAGGGGACACGGGTTCGTGCCCCGGTCCGGGAAGATCCCACATGCCGCGGAGCGGATGGGCCCGTGAGCCATGGCCGCTGAGCCTGTGCATCCGGAGCCTGTGCTCCACAACAGGAGAGGCCACAACAGTGAGAGGCCCGCGTACCGCAAAAAAAAAAGATACCCAATCACCAAACTGCCCCCACTTTTTGACCCTGCCTCCTTAATTCCTTAGAATCATTCAATGGAGGCCCAAATCCTATAGGAAGCTCTTCCCTGTACCTCTTACGGAGATTGTCCTGCGTTGCTATGGGTGTGATCTCCTTTGTTGTAGCAGGTTACCTAAATGTAACTGTGGCTGCAGGGAGGTTCCCGGTGGTCTCTGATTGGTGGACTTTAATATCATCATCCAACTTTCTAATTTCATCCCCTTCAGTTCCCCAATAGCTCCTTTCTAATTTAGAACCTTTTCAGTATCACACATAATTCTCTGGGTCCGGCTGCCATTTTCCAAGAAAGATGGAGGACAGAGAGAAGGAGGTGTTGACTGCACCATGAATATGAAATTACCAAGGTCCAGGCTGTGAGAAACTCTATAGGTCACGCAGCCCAGGCACTGCAACAGAGAGATTCTAAGGAAAAGAGGCATGGACAGGAAACCCGTAGACTAAGAAGACATGCCACGATTTACCAACTGGGTTATGTTAACTGTAGGATCTAAGGAGGCACATTGGGGTGATGACGCCATAAAGATTGTGGGGAGGTATTAACTGAAAGAGTCAGAGGGTGGTTACTTTTGGAGGGAGGGTCAGGCTGTGATTGGGATGCAGCCACGGCGCCATGGAGGGACTTCCAGCAAAGTGCTATTCCTTGACTTGGTTCTGATTAAAAGAAGGTCTGTTGATATATTTCACCAAGCTATACATTTTTTGTTGGATTTTGGGTACCTGTGTCTAATTTTTAAATGAAAAGGTTAAAAAGTATAGTCTTGAACAGGACAGTTTCTCTAGACAAGGATGGAAACGAAGAGCCCATTTAGGGGGCTAATACTGCAAACCAGGAGAGAGGGGACAGATGGGACTTGAATGAAAGTGGGGAACTGTGGTCGGATGATGTATATTTTTCAGTAAAGGACCAACAGGACTCACAGCCATGTTGGACTGAGTGTGAGAGAAAGAGGAGAAGCAAAGTGATACCGTTGCTTCTCTTTCCACCATGGTTGCACATCCTGGGGAACATGGTGGCCAGACAAAGGCATTTGTATGCATGGGATGGAGGCTTCACAAAAGTATTAGAGAAGCAGTTATGGCCTGTCGGAGGGTGACACCCATCAAGGAAGGAACAAATGATCGTGGGGGGATGTCCTTTACTCTGGAAGGCTCTCATGCCTGTCACTGAAGTTCTTGGTGGGAAGTGATCACCAGATGTGGACAGTTGCTGGAAGCAGCATAGCCCAGGGGCATTTCATGACCCTGGGGAATTTGAAGACAGCAGAGATTGTCATCCTAACATATCAGATCTGTATTGCCCTGGAAACTATGACGTGAAGAACCCACTCCACTACCCCCATCCCCACCTACGACATAAACATCTTTCTCTCTCATTTTGGAGATTCAGGTTAAATAAGATGTCCCTTTTGTGGAAGCCTATCCATTTGTTGACTTGAGTAATCTATCTTGTCTCCTTAAAAATGTCAAGGTTATAAAATAAGGGAGCCAGACACAAAGAATTTAAGAGAAAAGATTGTCAACAGCCAACTCTTTTACATTGATTTTAGTATACGTCACACCTAGATCTGCAAAATAGTAACGTGTAGGTATGTGTCTTATGAAAATCTGCTTTTTGGCAATTCGAATCCCATTTTCCCTTTAACTCCTGTTATGATTTTTGACCTGTGGAACTTACCTTCTTCTCCCCTGTTAGCTCTAGGGTTTCCCAGGCTTGCCCCCTGATGTGTGAATCCATCTTTAAGCCAACATTTAGATGGACCATGGAACCTGTTAAGAGTCTAGGCCCTAAGAAGGCATCCAGGGTCCTGCTTACAACCAGGCATCCGTTTTGAGCTGGGTCTCTTTGCAGGAAGGCTGCCTGCGGTTTTAAATGGGTTCCCCCACCTCGGGTTCTAGGAACTTTCAAGCTGGCAGCCCTAGGAGTGAGTTTACGTCAGAATTCCAGAATTCCTAATGAATTCTCCTGAGCAAAAAAACGCTGTTACGTCCCCCTCCCCCAGTCACATTTCTAGTGGATTCATGAGCAAAGGCACAGAAAACATCTATGGCTTTGAGGGAATCAGGAAGAGCGAAATTTCTGCTTTAAGAAATCACTGTGCTCCAATTATTTTATTTGTCAGGAAAAAAGGATTTTGTTTTCCATTTATTCCCTCCTCCAAATCTCGATTCAGAGGCCCCCACCCCAACCCCAGACCCTTTGGGACCTGTTTGAAATCCCATCTAGCTTACATAAAATCAATCTGCAAACCCCCTGATCAAAGTCATTGCCTCCTGCCTGCAAAGAGGCTGCCCCAAGCGAAACTGTGCTTTGCTGAGCCCAGCCTGACCCCTTCCCAGCACGGGCGCTAGGGCCTCCCCCAGCTGCGGCATTGTGTTGATCCTTGGGGGAGAGGCCCTGGGCACAATTATCCTGCTCCAATATTGATGCCTTTCTTGGGGTTGCTCAGGCTAATTAAAAGTCACGCTGTGCATGATTTTAATTAGGATTTGCATCAGGCTGGGGAAGGCTTTCAAAGGGAGAGGAAACCACAAGCTGAGCTGTCAGAGGGTGGAGGGCAGCAGGGAGGGAGGGAGGACAGTTTATTTATAACCCTTCCTGCCACGTGCACGTTGTGGAGGCCAACAGATGTGTGTTCCCATCCCGAAGGGCAGAGGAGCTGGAACTCAAGAGTCCAGTGCGGCATGGTGGGTTCCAGTCTTCCTAAGCTGGAGTTTCTGGAATGTTCTGGCATTTCCCCTCATTGCCGCTGAGGCTCGCACACTCCATTTCAGTAAAGATGAGAGAGTCAAGGATTCGGGCTCCTGCCCACCGTTAACCCTCAGAATCGTCACACCCTTGAAGTTCAGCTTCTAGACTCATGTTGGACCCGGGTTGGTTACAAACAGGAAGCAGAACCACTATTGTCCAGCAAGGCTGGTGCTGTTTCAACCAGCTTTGCCTGCCACCCCCTCCACCCACGGTCAAATGCGTTATCACATGTCCAGTGTTCAGGGAAGTGTTGATGCGTAAGGGTAGCAGCTATTGTAAATACAACCATTTTGCATGTTTCCTCTCTTATGTTTTTA